ATTTATACATGATTTGAATCTATTAAATTATATTATATTTTTAATACAGTAGACTATTTTATATTACATCATTAATTTAACTAACTTATATTTATTAATTTGATATCATTTTATATAAAGGTTTTAATTATGTATAAGCTAATGATATATTTTATCATGTAAGAGATCATAGTATTAATTAATAATATTTTGGGTCATTGGGTACTAGTAAATTGTTCCCAGACAGTAATTACAGAAATATATAACTGATACTGATTGGCCACTTACACGACTGATTAGTATCAGTAATATATATCTGTAATCACTGCCTAGGAACAATCCACTAGTACCCAATAACCCAAGATATTATTATTACTTATTCTATATATTATATTAAAAGTTATGATTTATCTGAAGTTGCAACTTTAGATATACATCTAAAGTAGCATCTGACTAGAATTAAGCTTCTAAAATTAGATCTTTATATATGTAATTTTAGTCAAATACTACTTTATATATCTAAAGTCACAACTTCAGTTAGGAGGCAACTTCAAATACAACATATATATTATATAAACTTGGTGTAATTTTTTTTAAATTTTACTTGCACATTTTGCAAGAATGTTTTACAAAATACTTGCACATTATGAAAAGCTATTGCACATGTGCATCTTGTGCAAGCCAATTTTAAACACTGGTCGGAACCGGTTTAATTATCACATTAATTTATTCAGATAAATTCTAATATATCCCAAAAATTGATGTTTATCAAATCAATTTATCCAATTAAATTTTGATAAACCGAATTATTAAAGCCGGTTCCGACCTCTATCCCAGTCCTTTGCTCCGTTTTACGGGTCGGTTAAAGCGGAGCGAGGTTTAGGGTTACTTTTTGATGCAATCATGATTAGTAGGTTGTTAGATATCAAAAATGCAACATATGTAGTCAATCATATATTGAGTTCGCTCCGCTTTAACCGACTCCCGTTATATCAAAAGCTCCGTAATATCAAAAAATCTTATGATATATCGGATATTATAATAAATCATAATATGGTTCCATTAAATTCTTTATACTAAGTAATATCCGTTATATCGATAGTCCGTTATATCGAGAGCCACCGTGTAATTAAATGACAATATAATTTTAAATCGCAGTATTTATACACCATTTGCTTTACTAGAAAGAGAGTTAGAACATTTCAAAAATACATATAAAATTACTAATCATATAACTCTGCACTATGATAGTATATCTAACACCCCCAAGAGCCAGTGTTGGAACATGACCGGGTCATAACAGGTCATAACAGGTCATATCACAATTAGTAAGTCATGATGACATGGTCACTAATTGAACTTGGTGACATGACCTGTTATGACTTTATATTGGGATGATTTGGATATGACTTGGTCACTTAGTCATTTAGGTCACATCCGGTCATGTTCCAACACTGCCAAGAGCAGAGGGTGAGTGCTTATTTTACGATACATTTTGCTTACAAATTAACTAAGTATATTACGTAAATAGTGTTAATATATGCAAAAATTTATTTTAAGATCAAAATTTTTTATTTGATAATATATATATTTTTATATCTGATATATTTAGTACAAGACTTATACTCTCATATCCAGTATCCTTCTTACGTAGTATAGTATCTTTCTCCGTACTAGAATAGTATTTCCTCCGATCATAGCATTGTAACGCAAAATACGGTAATTTGCGTAATTTGCGTAACAGTTGATAACTAATTATACGTGTATAAGGATTAGCATTAGAATCAAAAAGTGCATCAGAAACTTGCACCATGAACTGTTGCTTTTTAGTAGGACATTTTTTTTTCAGTTCGCATGTGTTCAAAAGGAAGTTATACAAGGATGTTAATAAACTGGTTTGGTCCATTTTAGTTCAGTCTTGGTCAGATTTTTAATAGTTTATACGTAGTCTTAAAAGAGTCCAAACTGGTTCAAACTTGGTCTGGTCTTAAGACTAACTGTTGTCTATTAGCGTAGGATCAGACCGGATAACAATCCTAAATTTGCCTTTAACGTTATCCAAGAACCGGCCATATCGATATAAAATTGAATAATTTATATACTGTAATACGTATACATCATCACTATGTTATGACTTTTTTTTTTAAAAAGAAAAGTAAATAATCTATATTTATTTTCTTTTTTAAATTTAATTAGTACGTACGTGTCTGTTTTTATTTGATATACTATATATATATAAATATAATATCGATATAAAATTGGTTAATTGTCAATATATATATGTATATATATAATGCATATCATACAGACATCGTTTTAACAAATACAGCCAATGAAATGAGTGTGTATTATCTTGTTAAAGGACATTTAATTCACCAAGAACTAAATCTTTTCCTTCCAAAGAGAATGACTATTATTATTTTTTTCAAAGGGAAAAATCATAAAATAAAAAGGTTTGACATATATCACACAAACTACTTTGTCTTTACAAAAAAAAAAACTATACAAATTGCGATAATCATAAAAGAAAAATTTCTACAACACTTTAAACAACCCTTCCATTCTTTGATGTATAGCGGTATGTTTAAAATGAATGTTCATATAGGTATATACAAAATTTAATTCTCACTAGAGTGAGAAAAAATGTCTTAGTGTTTTTTTTTTTTTTTTTTTTTTTAAAAAAAAAAAAAAAAGTGCATAGAAAACTCATTCAGAAGTCTTCCTTCCCCAAAACTTAACCAAATTCGTAAAACTTGCATAATTTTTAAATTCCTCTTGACACAATTTCCACATTTCCAGATAACTCTCACGACTCATTCCCATGTACCAAAGTAGTACATCAACGACCGTGTTTTCGAAATACATTCCTAAGAGTTCTGCATATATTTTACCGATTTTACCACCATGTACACCACCTATTGGAATTGTTTGTGTGTCTGAATGGATATCTGTTAATTTCGACAATATGTTACTTAGATTTATATCTGTTTGAGATGATGAAGCTTGGGAATTTGACATATTGCGTAGTGATTCGATTTTTTGTGTTATATAAACGTTGGCACCTGTCGATGATATGAAGTTTATCACTATAAAGAATTAAAAGAAATTCAAAATATTAGGATCTATTCTGAATGCGTATATATTTATATATTGCATACAAATTTTAAAAAATAATAAATAGTACTTACAACATGAATTCAATTTAGAAAAATAAGGACCGATATTATAAAATTGGAATTCAGGTTCCATTATCTCAATATAACCATCAGGTTTTAATACCCGCACCAACTCTTCTAT